AGTGCGTCTTTACCTTCCGCGACCCGGTCGAGGTCTTCAGGGAGTTTTTTGGCGGCCGGGACCCATTTTCGTTTGACTTGTTCAGAGACCCGTTTGAACACATTTTGGGAGGTCGGAGAAGCAGGAGCAGAGGGTCCTCGCCCCTTTTCCCCACCTTCAGTGAGTTCCCAGCCTTTGGTGGGTTTTCTTCTTTCGATACAGGATTTCATTCCTTCGCTTCTCTGGGGAATGGGGGCCTCTCTTCCTTCTCCACGTCTTGTGGTAGTGGCGGTGGGGTGGGTAACTTCAAGTCCGTGTCAACTTCCACCGAAATCATTAATGGCAAGAAAACCACCACCAAGAGAATTGTCGAGAACGGCCAAGAAAGGGTGGAAGTGGAGCAAGACGGCGAGTTGAAGTCCCTGATCATAAACGGCAGAGAGCAGTTGCTGCACATTGACACCAAGTAACTCCAGCCCACGTTCCGCTTCAAGCACATGGGGAGGAATAGCAGGACATTTTTTTGGAGATTGCAAGTGAGCTCTACTTTCAAAGTAACTACTCGGCACTTTATAAACGGTTCAATGCCTATGCCTATTTGTTGTTCTTGTTAGGACCACGCTAATAGGACTGCTCTTTGTTTCTCTTTAAAACTGTTGCAAATGTCTGCATACACTTTGCTACTTACTAAACATCGTCTTGAGGCTGACGGTGTTAATGTCACTTTAAGACAGCGGTTCTCAACCTGTGGGTCGCGACCCCTTTGGGGGTCGAAGGACCCTTTCACAGGGGTCGCCTAAGACCATCGGAAAACACATATATGATTACATATTGTTTTTGTGATTAATCACTATGCTTTAATTATATTCAATTTGTAACAATGAAAATACATTCTGCATATCAGATATTTACATTACGATTCATAACAGTAACAAAATTACAGTTATGAAGTAGCAAGGAAATTAATTTTGTGGTTGGGGGTCACCACAACATGAAGAACTGTATTAAAGGGTCGCGGCATTAGGAAGGTTGAGAACCACTGACTTAGAGGATAAGAATATTTCTGTAAGACCAGGGAGAGTGCTTCATTTGACATATCTACATTTGACAAAATTCAGAGGAATTTTTTACCTTGGAGCTTTATGAAAAAAATATTTGTTGAAAATAAGTACATTCATATCATTGCGGGGGGACAGAAACTGACTTGAAGTAAGCAAAAAATAACATTTTTAAATGCACATCAAAAGCAAAAAAACAAACAATTGATAATGCAGAAAGTAAAATCAGTGATACAAACATATTCTTTCAGAGATACTCTCCTATGATGCATCAGAAAAATAGAGGAGATAAACTTAAAGAGTAAGATGATAGTGACAGCCCTAACTGGTTTGTCTCAGTGGATAGAGCGTCGGCCTGCAGACTTAAGGGTCCCAGGTTCGATTCTGGTCAAGGGCATGTACCTTGGTTGTGGGCACATACCCAGTGGGGAGTGTGCAGGAGGCAGCTGATCGATGTTTCTCTCTCATCGATGTTTCTAACTCTCTATCCCTCTCCCTTCATCTCTGTAAAAGATCAATAAAATATATTTTTTAAAAAAAAGAAAGATGATAGTGACAGAGAATGGAAAATATAAATCTGTGGATGACAGGCATTCCCAAAGAAACCAGAACAAAAATTTCAATATTTAGAGAAAAACTTGAAAGTTTTCAATAAGATCTGGTTTTAACTTTGGACTTACCATACATAGCAGGCACAAAAATGGCCCTGTAAATCTGTCCACTTCTAATCCCTGTTACCTGCAGACAAGTCACCTGACATGGTAAAAGGACTTTGCATGTATGATTAAGTCAATGATCTTGAGATAGGGCAATTATCATGGATTATCTGGGTAAAAATGTAATCACAAGGGTGCCTATAAGTGAAAGAGGGAGGTAGGAGAGCAGAGATTTGAAGATGCTACACTGCATTTACATGGAAATGGAAAAGTGACAGAGAATTCCCAAAGTAACAACAAACACTTGTTTTAAAAAAGGGAACAATGCAAAAAAAATGAATTTACACTAAATGGAAAGAATAAAATCATACATACACACACACATACAGTCCTCGGGTTACGTCGGAGATCCGTTCCTATGACGCTATGTAACTCGATTTTCGACATAAGTCAGAATCCACCTACATAAGCACCTACGTCGCTCACATGGAGCACATACACAGCAGTAATGAAGTGAAACAGTAAAAAAAATTTTAAAGAAAGATAACAATTTCTTACCTTTACTTGTGGTAAATAAATAATAAAAAACATAAAGCACATATGTACATACGTCGAAATAATGGAACTTTTTTTTATATAAATACTATAAATGGGAGATGGCGACGTAACCACGAAACGACGTAAGTCAAGTCCGACGTAACCCGAGGACTGCCTGTGTGTGTGTGTGTGTATACACTGGTATATTGTGTGAATGATAGAAATTCTTACATCAAAAGAAACTATCAGAAGAGGGGAAATGTTATCAAAAACTCTTTAAGCAAACTTTTTATGAAGTTTTTAACTTAAAAAGATGACTTCACATATATGATCATATGATTTTTGGCAAGGGTGGCAAAACCGTTCAATGGGGAAAAGACAGTCTCAGCAAATATTGCTGGGAAAAGTGGATATCCACATGCTGAATGAGGTACCTAAAATAGTCAATTTCACAGAGACATAAAGTAGAAGAATGGTGTTTACCTGGGACTGGGAAGAGAGGGAAATGGGGAGTTGTTGTTTAATGGGCATAGAGCTTCAGTTTTCCAAATGAAAGGAGTTCTAGAGATTAGTTGTACAACTATGTGAAGTGCTTAGCAGTACTACACTGTACACTTTAAAATGGTTAAGATGGTAAATCTTATCTTAGGTATATTTTACCACAATTTAAAAAATTGTAAAAGCCAACTATGAAGAAATAAACAGTAATAACACTATGTGTACCACACTTGTAACTATAGAATAAGCAAAAATTATTAAAATTCCAAATAGAAACTGAGCAAAATTTAGTTAAATAGGGAATAGTTTAAGACATCTTTTTCAGAATTGGGCATGTTGAGGGTTTTTTTTAATAGAAAAATTAAAAATATAAATTTTAGGCATTTCTATGGAACATTTACAAATATTGATCATATACTATCTATCTACACTAATAAAAGAGAAACATGCAAATTGGTGTCACACCGCTACCCTTCCCATTGGCTAATCAGGGCGATATGCAAATTAACTGCCAGCCAAGATGGCAGCCGGCAGC